GGAGTTGGTGCGCTCCCCTGCCCTGGGGGTCTTCAAGAGGAGGTTAGATATGCATCTATCTGGGGTCATCTAGACCCAGCACTCTTGCCTGCCTATGCAGGGGTCAGACTCAATGATCTATTGAGGTCCCTTCCGACCCTAACACCTATGAATCTATGAACTTATGGTTGAGGAATCATTTTCTTTCCCAGTTCATTCTCCATCTCTTCCTTTCTCAGTGAAGCCCAAGGTGAAAGTCTCCCCATCAAAATCGGGGGCCCAGGCCCACCCCAACACACTGGTTTGCTCCATGACAGAGTATTACTCTGGCAGGATAGAGGTGAAGTGGTTGAAGAACGGGCAGGAGCAGACGGCCGGAGTGGTGTCCACGGAGCTGATGCAGAACGGAGACTGGACCTTCCAAATCCTGGTGATGCTGGAAATGACCCCCCGGAGCGGGGACGTCTACACCTGCCAGGTGGAACACAGCGGCCTGTCGGGCCCTGTTACCATGCTCTGGGGTAAGAGCTAGGAAGTCTTGGGACAGCCCCTGAGATCTTGGTGGGGGAGGCTCTCACTTTGTGCAACCCCTCATGGCCTGTCCAGGATTAGAGCCCCTTCCCCCACCCCAAGGCCGAAGGCAGCGTGCCAGGGTGTGAGCAGGGACAGGAGCCCAGATTGAGCCCTACCCTCTGACTCCTGTCTCCACAGAGGCGCAGGCAGGCTCAGCCAGGAGCAAGATGCTGATGGGGGTCGGGGGCTTCATACTGGGGCTAACCTTCCTGGCACCGGGACTGCTCATCTACCTGAGAAACAAGAAAGGTGAGTGGGATTGGGGTGGGACATGGCACCAGGGCTACTTCTTGCAGCAACACAAGGCTGGGTGATGCCAGGGCTGAGGGGCATCTGGCTGCAGGTTTCCCACACTCAGCCCCAGCTGCAGCTGCTCTGGAGTCTGGCTGGGACATCTTAGTTTTTCTCTCCTGGGGCGAAGAAGGGGTCAGACCCTCCTTGCCTCCTGTGAGGGCACAGAAGGGGATAAGGGGAGGCCTTACTGCTGGGGGCCTGGGCACTGTCAGGATGCTCAGAAAGGCCTGATTTTGTTTTACAGATCAAAAGAGGAGATGCCCATTTAACTCTAATAACCTCAGGACAAACAGCATGCGATCTTTAGATGGTGTGGACCATTCCCCTGCCCACTTTCTGTGTTTTCTAAACTGAAGATATCATCCAGCAGTCGTGCACATTCCAGTAAAGTTAGATATGGTTTTGCTTTGATCTGAAATAGAACAATATAGTGCTAGGTCTTGGGTGTATTATTAATGCTTCTGGTTTCTCTGTATCAGAAAAAAATGTGTTATACATGGTGATACAACGCAGAAGCTGCCCTGTCCTTCTGAAAGTCCTGGCTCCACCCGTGGGTATTTCCACAAGCAAATTCACATCAGAGTTCCCTAGAGCCGCTCACTCACCCTCGACCAGCTCAATTGTTCCTTCAAGTGCAAGCTCAGTGCTCAGCCAAGAGCTACCGCCAACGTGGTTGTGAGAGGGTTAATGCAGGACTCTGTCCCTTCTGCAGCCATTAGAACCCAGCATGTGCATGCTTCTATTCCTCCCTGTTCCTATTCCAACAGACAAAAATCACCCTCCCTTAAGACACATGCAAATTTTTGCAGGGCTGACTTGGAGGGGTAGGTGGAAGGTACATGAGATGTGCAATACATATGGGAATACAGTGAGAACCAGAAGAGCAGAGGGATTTAGGGTAGGGGTTGGGGCTCTGACCTCACAGGCACCCACTTTCCCTGCCCAGGCTCTAACCATTTTTCATTTTGCTTTCTACGGCGCCCTATTTCCCAGCCTGCAGGTAATCTCCATCTTCCTTAGGATGCCTGTTCAACCTGCCTCCCCACCATAGGCAGATTAACGCACGAAACTGCAGCTTTTGCTTCCCTGACAAGGAGTGAGCTCCAAGTGCAGCCACTCCACCAATCAGAGGGGGAAGGGGGGAACGGACACCTGTAAAATTAAAGATGCTGCTGCGCACCTTGCCAGGAGCACAGCTCGGCAGCCAGCACCCTGCAGGTAAGTCTGTGGGGGGCAAGGATCATGGGGGAGGGAATGGGTGTGGGAGTGCAAAGGGAGGGAGTGGGGCAGGGGCAGGGATTGGGGCAAGGACTGGGGCAGGGGCAGGGGCAGGCACTGCCCAGCCAGGGTCATTAATGCAACACCAGGGCTGGGAATGGGATGGAGCAGTGGGCAGCTCGTCCAGGAGGCACAGTGGGGCATCTCCCTGCTGATGTGCACACCCCTGGGAGAGGCATGGAGGCATGTGCCCCCTTGGATTTGTGTGCAGGGTGAGGGCAGGCTGACTGCAAAGAGGCCAGGGGCTGTGCCAGCCTCTACCGGGTAGGGGAGCTGGGCCAGGCCTGGGCTCAGGGTGGGCAGCGGCGGGGCCCGCGCTGAAACAGGTGGCTACAGGGACACTATGGGGAATTTTGGGGTGGCTATAGCTCCCTAAGCCACCCCCTCCCCTTGCCCCACAGCACTGCCCCTGCTTGGGGCACTCTGTTTTGTTTTCCCGAGGGAAAGACAGCAAAGCAGAGTACCCCAAGCAGGGGCAGTGCTAGGGAGGGTAGGGGGCTATAGCCATCCCAAAATTCCCCATAGCCCCCTCTAGCCCCCCTTCCCAGTACCGCTGCTGCCTGTCCCACTGAACCCGACCAGCTCGCAGCCTCTGCCCAGCCTCCCCACCAGGAAGAGGCCAGCATGGTCCTGGCCCTAAGCCCCCAGTGGGCAGCCCACCCTCACCCTGCGCACAAATCTCAGTGGGCACATGCCTCCCCGGGGGTGCACGCAGAAGCAGGGAAATGCCCCTCCACCCCCTCCTCTCACCCCGTGCCACCCAGACAACCTGCCTGTGGCTCTGTCCTGCTTCCAGCCCTGGGGTCGCATTCATTGCCCTGGCTGGGCAGCACGTGCCCATGCCCTTGCCCCACTCCTTCCCTCACCATGGGGGCCTCAATCTGTGCCCCCCACCCCATGCCCCTTCCACCCCACAGACGTATTGGCCAGACACTGTTCTCCAATCTGGCCAGCTGCATTCCTGGCCCCATGCACGCAGCATTTATCAGTGACGTTAATCAGCTACACTGGCCAAAAAAAGCTGATAGCTGATAATGCTAATTTCATCAGTGCCGATCCGATATGCAACCGATATTGGTGCCCCCAATTTTGTGTTTGCCCAGGACTCCAATAAACTTTAATCCACCTCTCCTCCCTCCACGCTGGCTACAGGTCACATTGGGTGTCCAGAGTGTGGCTGCTCCTGCCCCTTGGCCTACTGCACTTGTATGGGAAGTGGGGCCTTCTCAAGTCACCTCAGTCCTTGGCTCAGGCCAGTCCCTGAGCTGCTCCCAAAGGCAGTGTCCTGGGTCTGGCCAGAGCATTTCCCCTCCTAGAGGATTCACATAGAGTCCTTGTGGAGGCCCTGGAGCCTAGCAGAGAAACTCCCTTATCTACCAGCTGGTGCTAATTTCTCTCCCTTCTCTCCCTGCAGGGCTCCTAAGTTAGGTCCTGAAGCTTTGGGACCTGCGTTATTCAACATGATTCTACAACCAGTGTATTCTGAGATCTCTCTCTACTCCTGGGGCATGACCTTGCACTCCCTACCTTGGCCCAGCCACCAGCACTTCATGGCAGCAGGTCCTTCCCCATCCCTGTATCTGGTCCCTACACTCTTAACTTCCCCATCCTGCACTAGACCCTCCCTGGGGCAAACCCTAACATCCCACCTCTCCCTGAAGAAACCCCAGGCACTCATTTCTCTCATAGTACTTTTCCCTTCCCTACCCATGGCCCAGATTTGCTGTCACCATTACCACTGCTCTTGGCATTGGGGGAACCCTAACCTGAGACTCAGGGGAAGCTGGAATGATGCCATGAGCTGTGATACCTGTTGCATGTTCAAACATCATCTCTCCCTGCACCCTGTTCTTTCCTGATTTCCCACCAAAATTTTAATCCCCCTTGATGCCAGTGGTAGAAACCTATCAGAAATGTGACAGGAATAGAGGACCCAGTTGAGGCCCAGATGTTCCAGTTTGCTCCCTTTCTGCTATGTTACCTTCAAAGCAAAAGGAGGAAGTAGCCAGGACTGGCCTATAAGCTGTGCCTTGATGTCTGCCCTGATGGTCTGGGTGTGGGAAAGGACGGAGATACCACTAGAGGTGCATTAGAAGGTGTGACTGGGCTCCCACCATTGCAATTGTTACAGTGAGCACTACCAAGCCCTCATCTTGGGTGGGGATGTATCTCTTCATGTCTTGCTGAGCAGTTATGACCTTTATATTCAATAAACCAATTGAATTGGGTCAATGTGTCTCATGAGTCCTCCTTCTGATCGATGAACTTTCTCTGGGGACAACATTGAGCCCACAGTTTCCTCGCAGGTGGAGGTCTTAGTACCCACTCTCCATGTGGAAGGCAGAGTATAGAAAAATATGTGTCTCTAGAGTCCAGGCTGACCATGTGCCATAGAGCAAGGCCTCTTGGAAATACAGTGCCTAGGTAATGTGACATCCAGGAAGACAGTTCAACCGAGGCAGTGGGAACATCCTGATGTCTCAGGACAGCAATAAGGCTACGGCCAAGACTTTTTCAAGTTTAGTAGGAAGGCTGTTACTGCTTTACTGTAAAGAGGACTTCAGATAAGGTCCCGTTGGTTCCACACCACCAGCCTCTTTGATGGTGCACTTTCAAACAACCTTCCTCCTAGTTGTTTTCTAATTTCCCATCAAAATGATAACCCCACCTTGTGCCAGCAGTAGAAACACATCAAAGAAACACAAGAGGTCCCACTGATGCCAGCTTGTTCCATCTAACTCCTGTTCTGCCATGCGACCTTCAAAGCCGTAGAAGGACCTGTGGGGCTTATAAGCTTCACTTTGATGTCTGGGTTGTTGTGATGGTCCAGTTGTAGTAAAAGATTGGATATATCTAGAAGTGTCTTAAATGGTGTGACTGACCTCCCACCATTGACATATGACCATCCCTATGCAAACCATTCCATACAAATCCATAATCTAACCTCTTACTAAAACTATCATCAACCCCGATACAACTCATGATGATAAACATGCTAACCTGCCACTGATGCGGCTTGACCAACTTGTCACAGGAGAAGCATTGGAGGGGACCAGGTCCCTGCATGAAGGTACTTATGGATGGAAGATGGGGTAGGAAAAGGAAGCTCTCTGACCATCCTGAGGAAGGCAGAAGAATCAACAGTTGGGAATTGAAATCAGGTGAAGCCAGGGCTGAAATCACACCCATTTTCTGAGCAGCAAACAAGTAAACACTGGAATGTCTTTATCGGGGAGGAAGGAGGTGCTCGCCGTGGCTTGGAGTCTTCACGATGGAACTAGAGATGCTCGAGCTGAAGCATGTGGAAGGGACACTGTGCCACTCATGGCACTGGCTGCAGAGAATGGACTCGATTGTCCAGAAGGCCCCATCCACCATTGTACAGTTTGGAGACTTTCCCGTGGAATTGGATCCTGTAATAAAAGATATGTTTATATCCAGCCTCAGGGAGAGTCTGCAGCCCACAGGGTTTGGACTAGGTGGTTGGGATAGGCTTCACCAACCTTGGCATCAGTCAGTCCCTGCCTCTTCATGGCCAGAAGTGTCCCAGTTCTGCCTCCATCACCCCAACTCGCTTGTCCCACTGGCAGGTGGATACCTGCAGGCAGTAGGTGGGAATGTTTTTCCACATCTAGGTGATGTATATTTTTCCCCTCCTTGCTCCTCATGGAAGCTCCAAGATCAGCCACAGCTGGTGATGGGACCCAGGCAGGTGGACCAGTGCTGTGAGCAGGCACAGAGATGATAGGATGGAGGGTCTACATCACATACTCAGGGGACTAGAAGGATCTCCCCAAGCCATCAAGCCCAGTCCCCCACAAACAGAGCAGCCATCTACACAAGAATCCCCCACAAATCACCCCTTGAGACCTCACAAACAACTACAGGGCATGCAACCAGACAACAAAGATGCCCTCCTGAATAACACAGGTCAGAGCCAGGAAGATGAGGGCTCTGCCAATGCCCAGACCATGCAATGTGTGGGGAGTAGGTAGTTAAGTAGTATGGGTGACAACCATCACCAGGCTTGGGGCAGGAAGTCATTTACCCAAAGTTCATCCTGGCAGGCCATTGTGGGGGCTTTTGGCATCCCCTGTAACACAGGGCACTGTCTCCTGCTGGGTATATGACCCCTAATCAATACCCCCCACAGATACTGCAAGCAGATTAGGGGAATCCTTTGGTCTCTCCTGGTCTCTGCCTTGGCCAGCCACAGCCTGGTCTTCTGGGCCTGAAATGCTCTGCTCTAGTACAACTCATTGCAGAAGTAACACAAAGATCCCTGGCTGGTGGTACCTGGAAGCAGTATGGGCTAAGCAAGAGCCTCAGGGCAAATTCATTATGGTCTCCAAAACTAATGGTTACATGTTGCTTAACTCACACTAAGGGCACTTAAATTGTGAACATCCTCACATTAAATGTTTATAACTCATGTGACGTGAACCCCGAGCTTATCAAAGTGATACCACGTCAGGCAAAACTTAACTCTGGGCTGTGCTACCCAGCTCACATTATGGTCACTTCAACTCATGTCAGGGTAACTGCACAGAGGTAAAAAGAGCAATTTGCAGTATTCCAGGATCCCAGGAGTCAGCACTCCCAGCCCTCTCTCCCCCCAAAACAGAAATAAAACCTAGATGTCCCGACTCTTAACCACATACCTGCTCTCCAGCCCTCTAATGGCAAGTCAGCGCTGTACAGACAAGAAACTGTATTAACCCTTAACAGATGACCGCTCACAGCAGTCTATCATTAAGGTTGCTTAATGTACAGCTTATACTTAGACCATACTTAGTATGGTCTAAGTATAAGCTGTAACTTCACCATAAGGCTTGTTTGATGGTTAGATCCACCCTGAAATGTAACAGGAATGTAGAAGACAAGCTAGGAAGCCTGGGAGTTGCTTCCAAGACTGAACTAACTAAGAACTGTATGATATATGTAGTCTCTATACGTACACAGATATTGCGGGGTGGACTGGATAACCTCCCAAGGTCCCTTCCAACCCTAATTTTCTATGTTTCTATAGAGATTGTCAATCAGGGTGAATCTTCGTGGGCGACCTGGAAGCTGACAAAATTGTCAAGACATGCAGAAAATGGATTAAAATGGCAATGCACCAATATATAAGAGAAAGGGAGAATACTTAGCTGTATGTACATGAATTAGCCTGAGACTGGATGCTTCAAAAAACCATGCATGTATAAAGATGTTTTCAGGAAAACTTTGGATTTGGTCCATCTAGCCCGGGAGTCTGTCTCTGTCAGTGGCAGGGGTGAATGCTATATAGGGAAACCATCAAACCATATCTCTCTAGACAGGGGTGGGCAAAATGCAGCCTATGGGCCAGATGCAGCCCACCAGGCCATTCTATCCAGCCTGTGAGGCCCCTAAAAAATTTAGAAAATTAATATTTATCTCCCCCGGCTGACTGTCATGCAGCCCTCGATGGCTTGCCGTAAGTGGCCCTCTGCCCAAAATAATTGCCCACCTCTGCTCTAGATTGATCTACCCCTATTGACAGCCCTCCCTAGCATCCAAAATCATTTCTTTAGAGGTGCAGGAGGGAACATCTCCAACTGCTCTGTTACACCTTATGTCAATTGGATTGACCGTCAGTAAACTGACAGTCAATAAAGACTCTTTGGTGTCTATTTGGTTTCTACTCACTGGTGAACATGCAGCAGTGGGGCTGGAGAAGCATCCCTGGAGATTACAACATTTTTGTGCTTGAACTCTGATCCTCAAGAAGACACCACTGGGGACTACTAGAAGATATAAGAGCTTGGGGAGGTCCTAATAAGGAAGGTGTGAGTGTAATCCTATTCCAGTGCAGCATCACAGCCTAACGAATTGATGTTCTCATCAAAGCAGGGATGGCTGTTTTTAATAATTGAAGGTTTCTGAGACGAAAAGCAGACCATTTGGGTTTCCCCAGGAAGCACTGGAAAGAGATCTGAATTGTGTCATAAAGCACTGCACGCTGTAGTACTGATAGGAAAGGGAAATTCTTTATTAATTAGATTTCTATACCATTCTTCCCCACTCAGGGCAGCTTGCAATGAAAAAAGGAATAACTTATAAAATCATGTGGAATAGTAAAATAAAATCTTTAGTATAACCAAGTAATAGTAAAACCAAGAAATCCTTAAACCAGGACAAATTATGGCCTGCGGGCTGGATCCAGCATGCCAGGTAATTTCATCTGGCCTGCGGGCACCCACCAATGAATTGTACCACACCCAGACTGTGTGCCTTGCTCCCATCTTCGTGCATGGAAGTACCCAGCCAGCTCAACTTCCAGGCGGGGCTGCTGCTCCCACTGCCGCATCTGCCGGGGCTTCCCTGGCCTCCAGCAGCTTCTCCTCGTCTCTCTGCTTGCTGCAGCGCTCGTTCTGGGCAGCAGGTAGGGAAGTGTCAAGGGCAGGGGGAGCTGCGGCAAGGGCAGGCATCGGAAGTGTGGAGCTGGGGCTGGCAGAAGTGTGGAGACCGCACCCAGGGGGGTGACAGGAGCGTGGAGCTCGGGTGGGCAGAGTGTAGGTGTGAAGACCGCCCCACACACTCCCCGCCATGGTGCACAGCCCCTGCCACTGGCAACACCAACAGCAGCAGACGGAGGCCTTCAGGGCGCTCATGGCCTGCAAAGGCACTGCTGCCCGGCAGCGCATGGCTCCGGCCAGACCTGCACATGGTGGCAAGGAGTCCAGCCTGCCTGGTTCATGGTGGCTCCCCGTGGTGCAGTGCAGCTCCCAGTACTCACATGCCACTGGGGGGAAGCCCGACAAGCTGGAGCCACCTGCCTTTCCTGCTCCCTGCTGCTACCTGAAGCTATCGTGGAGGCAGGGAAAGGAGAAGGCAGCCAGCTCCATCACACAGGGCTTCCCCGAGTAGCACAGAAGTGCAGGGATCTGTACATGCACCATGGGGACCCCTGAACGATAGAGGCAGGCCAGCCTGGCTGCACTCCTTGCTGCCATGTGCAGCTTTGGCTGGAGCCGCACACTGCCAGGTGGCAGCGCTTGCACAGGACCTGAGTGCCCCAGGGCCCCTGCCTGCTGCTGCGTGCCATCCGGGGGAGTGAGCAGGGTGATGGTCTCCAAAACAAAAATATTTTTTGTAATAAAATTAAAATATGTTATAGCAGGTGTTTGACTTTTAGTCTATGATTTTTTTTTCTGGTTAG